ATTACAAATATTCGTATATTGTTTGAAATAATCCATCGAAAGGATAAATCATAAGCAGGAGCGTTTTTATTAATTTTTATTTGAGCGGCATAAGAGACAAGTAATTAGGGTAGAAAAATTAATACTTTCATATTAACTGGAGTCACAGTAAAGTGTCAATAAAATGATTAAGTGCTCATTGTACAAATAAGTTGTGATAAATTATCGAGCGTAAAAGTTAGTAACTTCACAGAAAGTGACAACACGCTCCATAAGCACTTCTAACTCGACTTCTAGATATAATGTTACAGCAGTAAACGCGTTAAAGTAAACCAGATTTACTAAATTGTATTTGTTGTTGCAGATAAAACAGCACTACGGAATTATCGAAGCCAATGGGAGTTAAACTAAACTCATTCTACTTTGGAACTTTTATGTTAAAATAATTGGAAACGTGTTCAGAAATACATAAAAACACAAATGAATTGTTAAAGCACTGTAAGGATAAAATAATAGTGTGATATTTAAATGTGCAAAAGTAGAGCCTTTCAAGTTTAACATTCAGAATAAGTTTTAGTATTTCTATTTCTAATTAGAACATTAAAAATCGATAAATTTAACATTTAGATTTCGTTTTTGTGCTTAAAGTTTCAAAATTAGAAACCCCAAAATTTCACCTTCAAAATACGTTTTGACACTTGTTGTAAACTTTACATAATACCTATATAATCCAGAAAACTTTACTTCTTGGTGGCTCCATCTGTCTCATTCAACTCACTAATGTAGTCATTTATACTTAAAAAACTAATTAGGTTAAGTTGTTGTTTTATTTTCAGTTATATCATCTAATTGTTTTTTGGTTTTTAAACAAAACAGTTTCTGTCTACTTGTCTGTAAAATCACCTACCTGAACCACGTCACCACCAATAACACTAGAACAGTACCGACGAACAACAGCATGTTTACTGATTATTGTTTGGTTTATCTTCCTTACTATACTCTTATAACGTATAATCGCGACGCCTGGCGGTAGGAAGTGTTTGATATTTTTTTAACTTTGCCAGTTTCGTTTGCCTTCCATCGCTAGTATGCATGTGTTTATATTTTATGTATGGGTGTGATCGTCTCGAGCGTATCTTATGTATACGTATTCCAAGCACCACTAGGTTTGAATTATCGTTTCTTGTATTTATTCTGGGTTTGGTTCTCTGGTTATGTATCCTTTTTACCAATAAACATAGACCAATGAAGTTACCCTCCTTTATCTCCACTTCTCTAGAATTCATGCATTCATTATCTGACTTAAATTTGAAGTATTTTATTTTCACGTGAAGTA